AGAAAATGTAAATATACGTATAAAGAAATATAACAGGAAGTACTGCTAAAACAAACTAAATGTTAAATAATGTAGATATTGGTTTAAAAAATTCTTCAGATTTGGACATTTGGAAGGAATACATAATTTTGAAATTAATCCACAAATCTGGTAAAAAAAAAAATAAATAAATAAAAAAGTTGCACCTTTTTACTTGAGGAATTTGTTGAATAACTTCATAATTATGAGTTTAACTAGTTGGAGGTAATGCTACACTTCTCTGCTTCCTGTCCTGCTCATAAAAGGTAAACATTATAAACCCACCATTCATTTTCTACACTATTTGGAAAACACAACACAAATGTAATATAACAAAAGTATGTTTAACAACAAACATGTTAGCATCAAGCCATAGCCATGTCTGTTTTAGAGACTAGCTCTCTTGTTTTAATGACCTTCTGCTCCTCCATTAATGAGGGGACCCCTCGGGCACGTAAAAAGTTGCCTAATTCTGTCATTTTCCACCAATGTGTCACTGGCCATCTCAAACAACTCACATCTTTGTCAGTGAAGCTGAGTGCTCCACATATCTGCCTTCATGGTGCCTATCTACATTAAGATCCAAAATTCTGAGAAAAAAAGTCTTAATTCTGAAAATAAAAGTCAGAATTCTGAGATTAAAGTCAGAATTCTGAGAAAAAAAGTCTTAATTCTGAAAAAGAAGTCAGAATTCTGAGATTAAAGTCAGAATTCTGAGAAAAAAAGTCTTAATTCTGAAAATAAAAGTCAGAATTCTGACTTTTTTCCCGTATTAAACTGAAATAAAATGTAAAAATCACTTAATTTTTTTTTTTCCAGTGGCCCTAATCCTCTTCCGTAGTCTTGGTCTGATCACTCATCCGATATTTAACTGCTAACTTTCTCTAGACGTTTGCCACGCTAGCCAAAATGTTTTTTTTATATATTTTTTTTTATATCTCATTTCAGTACATTGCCACCACCAACTAAAAGGCTGAAACAGCAGTAGGACTTACTCAGATTTTTTTTTAAAGAGAAACGTCAGTGTGAGTAACAGTCACCTAACACAACTTGTGTTGAAATTAGCCCGGTCTGGGTGTGCGTTTTACGAGGATTTTTTATTTTTTGCATGGTTTTGATTCCCCCGAAATGGACAGATGTTATACCTGCCGCGCTCCTGATCGTTAGTTAACCACAGGGAGAATTAATTCTAATTCTTAGCAGCGGCGGTCGCATTGGTTTTGCAACCACTAATTAACCAACTAATTAACTTCTGCACCTTTATTTCCTCAAACTGCTGGCTCCTCTTTTTAGACTATAAACAGATTAACACAACATTGACAACTCTGTAGTTTTCTCTGTTCTGTACTGCAAATTGGAATTAAAGACGCCATTTCTACCAAAGGTCTGGACAGACTGGCCACCTGTCTAGAGTGTACCCCGCACCAGCACCTCCCGACCCCACTAAGGAACAGAAAATGGAAGGATAGACGGATTTCTACCAAAGATTTAGAATGCGTTTTTGAACCAGATGCTTCAAAGCGCCCTGTCCATAATTCTTCACCACACTGTCAGCTCCCTCTGTCAGTCAACCTATATAAATTCATTTTTGACCATTATTGCAAGTTTGACAAAATAAAACATATCAAACTTTGCACTTGTGTGGCCTACTGAATTGTTTTGATTTTCTAGTGCGTATGCGGACACTAAATATGCCAAGGGCTGAAGCCCTTGAAAGACATCTCCCTTTGCTTAATAAAAGACTCCAGTCATTTTGTTTGGTGATATGCTCACATCTTATGAACAAATGCATTATGTACATTTTAAATGCATTATTTTTGCAAACACATTTATAAAGGAATAAAGTAAAAGATTAAATAGCCTTTTTTTTAAGTAGCGTACTTAGGATATGTTTCTGTTGAATATTTACGAATCTCAGATTTCCGACATGTGTCCCCCCCAATTGTAAACATATTCCTACGCCCTTGCACACGGTCATTAGACAAGCAGATATACATATACCAGAATGCTGTGCAATAGGTCTCCTCGCAAAGCATCATGGGATTTGTTTTGGGGCGAGAAAGAATGAAGATGGTGCAGGCAAGTGGTGATCATCTGTCCAAACAGTCAATTAACTGAGTTCACTGTATAGTCTGCACTATATATAGTGACGGGTTAGGGCGGACATTCGGGCACAGCCACTGTGTCATTGCTCATATGGCTTCAAGAAAGTCACTTGATGGATAAGGTTGTTGATACAGATTCTGTTTCAAACTGACTGATGCACTAAATTATTCTGTTTATAAGCGTATTTATCAACGGGGTGCTTCTGCGAAGAAGATCTCTGATCTTTGTCAGTTCATCATCAAATTGATCAAGGACTATGGAGGAGGCTCAAGGCAAAAAATCTCGTATTTGTTTTTTCTTTTCTTTTGTTTTTCATTTTCTTGTTGTGTGTCATCCTTTTACTCTCAGTCATCACTCTAGGTATTTGAATGTAAAGTAAATTCAAACTGAGTTAGTTATTTATTGTTTTGAATATTTTTTATAAATCCTCGTCCACAAGCGTCATTTACATGTTCACCTAAATTTTCAACTGATAATATCTCTTCACATTAGTTATTGACTGTATCTAAAAAAATCTAAATGAAAGATATTTTCATTTTAAACAAAGATATGAAATAATGCAATATAACACGATATGATTTAAATTATTGTTTTAGGTCATCCAATCAGTGTCAGTTTAGTCTTTCAAATAGGCTGCATGAAGGGATTTTAAAGGTATAGAAAGTATAGACACAGTATCAACGCAGTACTGGTACATATGGAAAATGGCTGTTTTCTAATTAGGCAGATGCATCCTCCGAGGCCAGATTTGCTCACCGATAACATCATATCATAGTACCGTGGCCTGTACGATCCGAACCATCAGGTCATTTGTGCATGCGCAGCCAGATATACATTGGGTTTCCATATATAATGTATATATTTATTTATATATTTATTTCTATCCTTAACTCACTAAAGAATGCTAACACATCTTTTAAAAAATGATTTATGAATTTTCAGAGACAATTTTGATACTTTTTACATTTGCTCCATTTATCTGCTTGTCTGACGTCATCATCAGACATGCTAAGAGTAGTCTGGCAAAATATGATTAAACCATGTTTATCTGCATTTTAATTGTTTCTTTTTTTAGGTCAAGCACTATACACCATAATGTCAATACAAAGAGAAAACATAAAACTCAAAGAGACTATATGTATGTTTAAATCCAAAGCCAAAAAAGTTATCTCTTGGAAGTAGCGAAAGATTCCATTTCCAGTACAGATTGGGCTCTCACAGGTGATAAACCAGAAACGAGTGAGAGAGCTGACGTGAATTAAGGGTGGTGACAGCGGTGTAAGGCTCGACCTGATCTATTCTATAGCCAAAGTCTTCCGGGCCCTTTAGTTTTAAAGGTCCTTCAAAGGTAACCTGACAACAGCCAGATGCATGTCTCGCTCCGCCCAGCTCCACTCACATACATCTGGGAACCCGCTCATTGAAAGTGATTTCCCCAACCGAATTTATGGTCTGTCCAATCAGGACGCAGGGTGGGTGTGTCCTGGAGTGGAGAAGCGACCGTGAGATTCCAACAACAATGGCGGCTCGCATTCAGGAAGCAAGCGTTAGCATTGATGCTGCTATTTCTTCTGTGTTGTCCAATCTATCTGATATTGTTTAATTAAAAGAACATCAGAGAACGGCTTTGAAGGCTTTTGTTGGTGGAAACGATGTTTTCGCCCTTCTCCCGACCGGATTTGGCAAGAGCTTGATCTACCAAATGGCTCCTCCTCTCACAGCGTCACGGGTTAGCTTCGGTGTGAGTGGTTGAAATAGCACGTCAATAAAGATGACAGACAAGTGGCTTATCCAATCATATGCAAGGAGTTTTGATAAGGCCCAGCCTTCAGTAAAGGCAATTCCTATGGCGGGTTCCCAGATGTATGTGAGCGGAGCTAGGCGGAGTGAGACATGCATCTGGCTGTTGTCAGGTTACTTCAAAATCGAAACACTTCATAACGCCTCATCAACCAATCACCACTGTGTAATACTACTGCCTGTAAACTTTAAAGATAGCCATCTAACACACTTAATCCCAAGGGGGGTGCTAGTGCCTATCTCCAGCGAGAGGCAGGGTACACCCTGGACAGGTCGCCAGTCCATTGCTGGGCAACACTGAGACAAACAGGACAAACAACCTAAGGAGAATTTAGAGAAGCCAATTAACCTAACAGTCATGTTTTTGGACTGTGGGTGGAAGCCAGAGTACCCAAAAAGAACCACGCATGCTTAGGGAGAACATGCAAAGTCCATGCAGACTCCGGGCCGGAACTCAAACCCAGAACCTTCTTGCTGCAAGGCAGCGGGGCTACCCACTTCGCCACTAAGCAGCCCACTTTAAAGATACATTAAAGGGTTTTCTAATGATACTGCCACCTACTACCAACACAATCCATCCATCCATCCATTTTCTTACACGCTTGTCCCGAGTGGGGTTGCAAGGGGTGCTGATGCCTATCTCCAACGGTCAATGGGCGAAAGGCGGGGTACATCCTGGACAGGTCGGCAGTCCACCTCCGGGCAACACAGAGACAAACAGGACAAACAACCATTCATGCACACACTCACACCTAAGGAGAATTTAGAGAAGCCAATTAACCTAACAGTCATGTTTTTGGACTGTGGGTGGAAGCCAGAGTACCAAGAAAGAACCACGCATGCTTAGGGAGAACATGCAAACTCAATGCAGACCCCGGGCCGGGACTCAAACCCAAAACCTTCTTGCTGCAAGGCAGTGGGGCTACCGACTTCGCCACTAAGCACTTTAAAGATACATTAAAGGGTTTTCTAATTATACTGCCACCTATTACCAACACAATAACTTTAAATAGAATTCTATAAGATGAATAAATATCACGATTTGATAATGATGGTATTATTTGTTATGACTTCAGCTCAGACTGAAGAACTGATCAGTGTAAAAACCAGAGCAAATGTCACTGAAAAGCAGCTGGAGGTTCTGAAGAAAGAAGGAGAAGGTTGGTGAATTCAGATATAAATTCCCCATGATAACAATCACATCTACTGTATGTATCGAAAATATTTTCTAAACTAGATTTTTTATTCATGTTTTTAAAATATAGGAAACTTATTTTAGATGAAGTGGATTTTTCTTGTTTATGCAAACAAACCAGCTGACAGTAATTAATTTCAAGCAGAATCCTAATACTCCTTTTCTGTATTACAGTGAAACGAGTGGCTTTCTCAGCGTCTTTGTTGGACTCTGGTTCAGGAACTTTTGGTCCATTTAACACGAACACACCACTGGTCTTCAGGCATGTTGTTGCAAATATTGGAAATGCCTACAACCCAAACACAGGTAGATCATTTTATGATGATGATGATGATGATGATGATGATGATGATGATGATGATGATGATGATTTATTCCAGGGTTTTTCACAGCGCCAGTGAGAGGAACCTACCACTTTGTGTTCTATGTACTTGATCATGGAAATCCATCACATGGCACAGGTGCTTGGCTGGTCAAGAATGGAGAACATATTTTCATGGCTTTTGAACATCAGACTAATGGGGTGGCCAATGGCTCTAATGGAGTGACATTGCTGTTAGAGGTTGGAGATGTTGTGTTTTTGCGTCAGAGTTCAAATTCGAGAATTTATGATAACCAAAATCACCACACAACCTTCAGTGGTCATCTGCTTTTCACCATGTGAGAACCTAATAGCCTGATTTTCTACAGCAATATTAACTGAGCTAAGTTTACTGTTTTGATTGTTTTCTCTGTAGTTTAGTTGACGTTAAAATGATAATTAGACCAAAGTAATCTTTATTACATGTTATGGTTTGACTTTTTGTTAAATATTGATTTCATTCTTATATATAACAATGCAGGCATAACAAAAGACAAAATGCTTTGTGTATAATAGGCTTTATCACTGTATATTTAAAAGTCTCATCTTTAAAAATATTTTAATTTAATTTCTTTTTAAATTATTCAAAGGTGAAATTTAGGTTTCTGTTTTCTCATGCTTTTGTCATTTTTATACAGAACACTTTTGGCTGTTCTATACATTACTTTATGAGTTCTCTGATTTGATGTGATTTATTATGTGACTTCCATATTTTGTGCGCTACATTGTTCGCATCTGTTGTTTAATAATGTTCTTTTTTAATAAAGTTTTGTGTATTGCTCCATTACCTGACACTTCACACTGTATGATTTCTATTTTGAAAGCAGAAAATGTAATGTTCATTAGCTGTTTTTTCTGACTATAAAATCTTAGAAGTCTTAGAATATGTTTTTTTTTTATCAATTCTTATTTTGAAGCACAATTAGATTGAATTCTAATTAAAAAGGCAGGTGTAACTTGCTACGTTCAAACTAATAATGTTAAATAACCAATGCAAATTTGCAAATGGTTGTTTTTTTTCCAGCATGTTGACAATGATGTTGGTAAAAGAAACTGAAGCAATTCTGTATGAAATACAGGATGCATTTAATGTTCTACATTTCTATCTGTTTAAAGAGTAATGAATATAATGTTAGCAGTTATCAGTAGTCTAAGACATGGCAGAAGAGAACATTTCAGCCTTCAGGTCAGTGGTGGCTGGTGGAGTTTTCTCCTGGGGGGCTATAGATATAAAATAGACGCGTACCAAAACCCATCAAACGTATACTAAGTTATCACACCAATATATTAATATGAATGCCAACAACAAAAAACATTCTTAAAACACTTTACAAAACCAAAACATAATTCCATTTACTGGTTTACTCTTTGTACACAAGTCCTGCCCTTCTGAGGCTTTGTGAAAGTAAATATATGTTTTGCATGGTCCAATATGGTTTCACAAATCTAAAAACATAATGTACCTGCTTAATGCTGGGGAAGCTTTTAGCTTTATATTTTTCTGATATATGAAAACTATTTATTTTCTAAGAATGTTTTTATTAACAAAGGCATATATATATATATATATAAATATATACTTTCTTTCTTCAGAGCTTTAAAACTTTGCCTAATTTTGGTCAGGAGGGTACTTTTCCTGTTTGAAAAAAATGTATGTAAATATCTTGAAGTGTTTAATTTTAAGAGAACTATGAATACATGCCTTAAATAAACAGACATTTAAAAAATTTGTATCTATGTTAAAATAATTTGTAGTAGGCTTGCCAGGTATCATCATAACAATGCACATCATAGCTTGTTGAAAAAATTGTGGTTGTGCTGCACTCAGTGATATGTGTGAATATAGCATGTACAGTCAGTGTGTTAAATCACTAAATTTAGTGTCTGAAAAGAAAGACAGAGAAACATTGGCACATTGTATGGTTTATCCTAAAATGTACCTTAGCATTTGATGTGCCTGTGACAGTAGCACACAAAGGAGGCAATGTGAAAAGATTGTAGTTTTGGATTGTCATAATTTTAATAAAACTATAAGATAGCTCTGCAAAGAAAATGTAACTACTGCTCTAACTCAAGCAGCCTTCTTCTCGCAATAAACTCCCCAGCTGTTTTACTTGTGCTTCTCATTGTCAGTTTTTAGTGAGTAAATAATTTCAAAAGGGTTAGGGTTTTAATTTTGATTGAGGGAGTATAAGTATTCAGAGAGAGGATTAAGAGTATATAACTCCTTCAGGCTGTGGTTCCAGATCCCCCAGATGTTATCCAAGAAGCGGTTGTAGGCTTCTGCATGTTTCTGGCATTTCTGGAAAGCCTCGCATTCCCATGTGGCCAAGTAACTTTTTCAACATCCACTGTCCTTTCTGGTGTGAGTGAGCTTCCTGTTGCAGAGAGGATCTCTGCTGGTGGATGGGCCAACCCTGAGTTGATGCAAACATGGGAACGCAAAAGAACTGACTAGCTCTCTCAGCTGTAAATTTTATTTAGACTGGCCAATAGGAACACAGACCCACCCAGGACAGATTTTTCTACACTGAGGGAAAAATCCTGAATCAAGAGCAATGACTGGTTTTGAGAGGGTGAAGAAAAAAGTTTGGACAGAGAAATCTATTTTTGATAGAAAATGTTTTAACTCTGATTGCAAAAAAACAATATTTGAAAGTAACGTGACTCTCACTCAGGATAAAAATTGTAATAATAATAATGTTTCTTTGGTAGTGTATATTAAGGTTTTCTGCTGTATGATTGCTCTCAGTTGGAGTAGAGTAAAGAAAGAGTTGAACCTACCTCCTTCGTGTTAACCTTTTTCACTTCTCCACAGTAAAAACATATTTTTGAGGGAGCTTTTCCCCCTGGGAAATCACTTTCTGAATGTCAATTTATTTTTTTTATGTATTCTATGACATAGTACTGTATTTTCTCTCAACACTTTTTCTTTAATCTCAATTAACATCAGTTTTTGCTATCGGTGTGAAAATTTGCTCTCTAATATGTTTATCTTTCTTTCAAAATTATTTTCCACTTTCAGATTGATTTTTTTCTGGAATTTATTAAAAACACAAAACATAACTCCATATAGTCCAGCCAAAAATGCAACAGGAGAATCAGGTTACAACTAGACTCAGTGGTAAAGGAAACCTGTATAGAAAATTCAATACAACAACCTCATTTAGTTTTGAAATGTTTTAGATCTTCTGTCCAAAAAAGAAAAAACAAATTGTATGTTCTTGTTTTCTTTTTTACATGTTAGATTATCCTTAAAGATATCTTCATAAAGTTCAATAAAAAAAATATCTCAGGGAGCTTCAGTTTATCTATAATGATACCAGATTCTTAACCAACACTACAAAAAAGGATCAAATTAAATGTACACCTGCAATGGCTTCCTGGATAGATTTTCAAATACTGTAGATCGTTTTGAAGGCCCTATTTTCTATCTTCCATACACCTGAGAGGTACTAGGAAGGTATTGAGCATCTAGATACCTTATCTTATATTATACAGCTTGGGTATTGAACATTTTTCTATAGTTATCTGTCAAGACTATGCATTATTAATGCATATTAGTGCATAGTCCTACATTAATGGAGGAAACAGATAAACAGTCCCAATATCATAGTTCATTTTATTTCAGATGATGCCTGGAAAACTTAGACTGTTAGCTTTTCATATAAAGTGTTACTATTTAATTTGAAGCTTTTTTTAGAAATTGTTGCAAAGGAATTGCTAAATGTATTAAAATTTTGTTTTGTGTGTTGTAATAGGGTTAGGGCCCCTCTGAAAAAATATTGTATTTCTTTATATTTGTACATGTCTTTGACTGATTTCCCAGGAACTTACAATGAGCAAACAGATGACTGATGAAGACTATTTTTTCTGAGCTCCCTCTATAGTAGTAGTAGCAACACTAAGTTCTTGCTTAGTCTAGGACTGATAAACCAACATAGATATGACAACGTCCTGATAAAACTTCCTCGAAAGATAACGTGAGAAGAACAATACTTTGGAAGAGCAACTGCTCTGAAAAGTAATTTATGGACAGTCACATTTTGTTATTAATTAATATTCTGATAGAAACAAGAAGGCAAAAATGCCTTTACTTGTACACTTTGCAACATCAAGCTTTTGTTATATAATACAAAAAATATAGTCCCAAAAAACCTGATGCAAGTTGGGTCAAAAGTTTTGCATTCAATAAAACTGTTACAATGGGCTTATGCAGTTTGTGGAAGGGGGGTGGAGTCAGAACTTTACTATGGTCAATAAAACATGAAGTTGGAGTCTTGAGTTGATATTCTGAAATCAGTTTTATGTTAAAGACAACAGTATATACCATGATTCAGGCACGTGCAGAGGGGGGGGCTAAGGGGGCTTGAGCACCTGCCCCTTTTGCTCCATGATCCCAATGTGCCCTTTTGGTCCCTTTTTTTTTTTTTATTTATTTTTTTTTTTTTATTTGACACATGTACTGAAATTATTATTATTATCTTTTTTTTTGGCAAGAAAAACAATACAATAGGCCCTCCGGTCACATTGTGACCTTTGACCTTTTGCCGGTGACGACGCACTTGCCTCTCGCACAGTCAAATAAGGCGGCTAACTGCGGAGCTAAAGGTAGCGAACATTCCACATTACACTGTGGCCGCTGCTCATTTGGCCCTAAGCAAGATCAACCATGATCGGACGGATGGCTATGTCTTCAGTCTGCACCGCCTCTCCAATGTCAACCTGAATAGAGATGTAAGTGAAACCAAATGACCCCCATGGATGATGCAGTATTGTTTGATCTAAAACACTGTTTACTCTGTGCTTTTAGTCTTTTACATTGAAAATTATGTTTTTTAATTCACAAAAACCTGTTCTGTAATGATTACAGAACAGTTTTTTTGTGAATTAAAAAACATAATTTTTGGTGAAAATACTGGAGTAGGCTTGCTACATGTCAGACAATGGAAAACTGTGAACGTTGTATAATTTCTCTACTTTAGCAAAGAGTAGCGGTTTAAACGGAGGAAAGTAGTTCTTTCTCTGAAGAACTACTGATCGGGAGGAGACAGCCAGGTGAGGAAAAGCTGTTCTTATCTATCGATTCAGTATTTTTATCATACAGACATTAGGCTGTTGTTCTTGTGCTATAAGCTAGCTGCTAGCTAATGACTTTGCTAGCAAAGCAAGATAACTAAAAAGCTTCCCTGTGTCGTTAATGATAGTAGGACATTCTTCAGTATTACTTATGCAATAGGGGCACATCGCCCGTCAAAAACCTATCATCTCCATAATGGATATATGTCTGATTTTCTAATTTCCTTTGCTGCATGATGTACATTTCATTTATTCTAGCGTTAGGTAAATGTATCTTAAAGGAGAACTCATCCAGAACTACCATGATAGATATATGATAGATATAATGTATGAAGCTGGTGAAAACAAAACTGCGCAGCTTATGCAAGGAGGATCGGTTGTCAGACCTTCTTTTGTTGGCAATCGAGAAGGATGTGCCAATCATTCACAGTGAGGTTATTAACATTATTAAAGACATGGCTAACAGAAAACTGCTGCTGTGAACAAAAGAGAACAAAAATAGCAAAAATACTTAAAAGTTGGAAATTTGTTTTTAAACAGTTAAATCACCATGACGGAAAATAAGTTTTTGGATCATAATCTTGGATTTAGTTTGGGGGGAAAAGAAAGGCAAGAGACTGAAATAAATAAGACATTGACCTTCACTCAACACAGAAAAGATGAGACAATGAGGAAAAAAAGAAAAGAGAAACTGACAAGAAAAAACGAAGAGAAAAGATTGAAGAAAATGTATATAGGTACTTACAAAATACACTAAGACACAAACAGAGTAGGCTTTTCTCATGGTGACATGCATTAATAAAATGTTTGTTTTGTTCTTTTTTTTCTGCAGTTCCACGTTAAAGTTTGATGCAGCAGCTCTGCTTTTCTGAATGGACCGTCTCCATCTCCACTGTCAGTACAGCAAACCAGGCAGACATTCTTTTTTATAGATTACAGTACACTAAAAGGTTGCATTGTGCCCTTGTATGCATTTTTAACAGTTTAATTCTGTAAAGACAAAATATGTCTGGTGGTCCAGCTCTGATTTACGTCTTTGGCTAATTTGCAGGTTTGAATATTGTAATACTTTCCTATAACAAAATAGACCTGCAGAACGAAATTACTAATAAAATATTTTACATATGCATAGTTCCATGTTCTATGTAGAGATTTCCCTTAGCTTTGATTGTATGTCTCACAATTTTGTAATTTATCATAGTTCATTAAACTCTGAAAGCTATGTGACTTTGTTAATATTCTGTCCTAAAATGCGATAAGATGTGCCCTTTTTTTTTTTTTGAGCACCTGCCCCTTTAGTGGTCTCTGCACGGCCCTGCCATGATTACATGTAGTTGCTGCAGCAGACAAAAGTATTTATATATAAATGATCATAAAATTGTATATTTAATCTTCCCTTGTTTTATTATGTTTGTGTACTCAATGATTATAGAATACTGCCATTATTTAATAGGTCATAATAACATTCTGAAAACCACTAGGATAATGCTACAGCGGTATGGATCAACGCCAGAACTTTCCACTAGATGGCAGTGTTGGTCTAGTGATTCAAGCAGAGCGCTTGTGCACATGTACAAAATCAAGTTTAACTATTATTTATCAATAGTAATACCAATAATACTGTGTTATTTTTAAAAGTATAGTAACTAGATAAAACACATATAAATTATCACAAAAATATGAATAGATTTATTACTGATATTTCATAATTAGAAGGTTACAGCTTCAATTAACATTGGAACAAGTATCTTAAGTGTTAACTGATTAAATAATGATTTTCTCAATATGTTTGAAAACATCTGGACCAATTTGTCAGAAATAAATGTGATTATACATTTAAAGATAAAATGGTTACAGCAGAATTATAATGTAATGTTTTTTATGAAACATTGCACTTCTACAGTGATCGATCAGATGAGTCGCATTCAAAGTGAGTTGGAAGGATGTTCCCTTTAAGGGGAAGGCATTAAACAGGGGAAGTGAAGCCAGTCGCAACTGCTTCATTGTTTCACCCCCCTCTCACTATCAAAACACTCTTAGTTCACTATGGGGGATTCCGCTTCTTCAGAGTGAAATTGAACGCTAATTGTCAGAAAATCTCCCCGAACATCGTTTCCTCCACCATGCTTCAGCTGAACGACACCATGGACCCGGAGAGCCCGGGTGCTGCGGTTCTCCTCCCCGCAGAGGCAGAGGAGGGGGTGGAGGTTGCTTTCACGCCTCCGGAGGCCCACGGACGGAGCTTCGGACACGCAGCCTCCGTGGCCTGCTGCCCCCCCTTACAGACGCTCACGCCTTTCCATGTCCACAACCCCACCATGCAAGCTACAGTCAAGGACTACTTCGTGTTCAGGGTGAGCGGAATAGATTCCTTATTAAATTAGCCGTATTGTATCGTAAAGCGGCGCAGGAATAAAGCAAACAGAGAGATGCAGCTTTCTCTGAGGTGATGCTGATGGTGGATGTGATGCTGATCTCAGCCAGGTACCATCGAGCAGGCGGTGAATGACATCCGGACGGTGGCGCTCCCATCAGAGGACGGGGAGGTGCTGAGCGTCTGGCTGCTGGTGGAGTGAGTATCCATTTGCCTGGGCCTGTCTCATTAATATCAGCTCCTATTAGCACTGGAGTTACACATTAATCAGCAGTTTCCCCTCTTCACAGCTCATGGTCTGATCCTTATGTGCAAAAGAAATTAAAATGTTGTCTGTTCTACAGAGTAGACCATTGGAACAATGAGAAGGAGAGGCTTGTTCTGATCACTGACAGGTGAGTAAATACATTTTTTAATACTTTTGAACAGGGGGTGCTGTGAAAATAATTTAGTTTTTTTTTTTTAAACCAAAGACCTGTGATCCTATAGGCCTATTTAAAATACAATTTAGTCTGAAAAACTCACATGAAGAGAAAAGACAATTAGGAGAAATTTATTGATACATTTACTTTAGTCTTTGGTGCTCAGACCTCGGCAGAAAACATAGTGGTTAATTTTGATAGATATGCCTGAACAGGAGCAAAGAATAGGGCTGTTTCCCCCTCAGGCCTGAAACTGGTGGTGGAGTGGAGATAGATGAAGTTGGTCAGTCTGTAGACTGCTGGTTAGCGAGACGGTATGCTGAGCTTATGGGGAGATCCAGAGGACTGCGTGAGTTGATACTAGAGCTTCATTCAGGAACCTGGAAGATGGAAGTCCAGTTTGGATAACACAGATTGAGAGAACCTGTCCATGATGAGCAAGCATGAAGGGACAGTGGAGAGGAAAAACTCCCCGTTGGGAAGAAACCTCTGGCAGAACCAGGCTCAACATGGCAGTCTTCTGCCGGACTGGTGAGACTGAAATGAGACGGGGAGGACTGACACTCTGATGAAGCTTTAGCTACGATGGTGGAGGAGGGGATGGAGGTGGGTTGAAACAGTGTCATCTGAATGAAGTCACAGCGCTTCCGCCGCCGTATCGGAGGCCTTAAGATGAACTTTGGATGCTGATTGGCTTTTGTGGAGGTTTGGTTCAAAAGCTGATTGGCTGTCGCAGGTGGATGAAGGAAAGCAATGAGTTTCTTCAGTTGAACTTCCGCCTAGGCTCAATTGAAAATAAATGAGTAAATAGATTGAGATTCACTACTTTATTGTCATATACATTTCAGTGCACACAACCAGGGTCTGTAACACACAGACATCATCAGTTCTCAGGTGAATATGTGCGCTATTAGTTAATTTCACAATAATACTATAACAATGTAGATTTGGTCAGCTAGCATGAACCTGAGTCACTGTGTTTATGTCACACTTAGCTCTTAAATCCTTTTATACAAACCACAAGTAAATAATTATATTATTATACTATTTAAACCTTATTGAACAGATATATTGAACAGTTGCTATGACAATGTAAGTCCAAATACACGTAATAATAATAATAAAAAAATCTAAATCATTTCCCAAAATGATAAGAAATGTATCAGTTCTGCAAAGTATTTTTAATACACTCTTTTAAATCCCCCTCTCGCTACTAGCACCCCCACTTCCCATGGCCAAGCCCTGACGTTTTAGGGCAGGCATCCCCAAAGTCGGTCCTCGAGGTTTGCTGTCTTGCAGGTTTTAGAGGTTTCCCTGCTTTAGCGCAGCTGATTATGATGATTGCAGATGAGCAAAAGCCTGTTAATCAGCTTTCAATTAAAATCAGCTGTGCTGGAGCAAGGAAACCTCTAAAACCTGCAGGACAGCGGGCCTTGAGGACCGACTTTGGGGATGCCTGTTTTAGGGTGTTGATACGGAAAATTTTCTGCTTGCAGGTCTTTGCTGGTGTGCAAGTATGACTTCATTAATTTGCTGTGTCAGCAAGTGGTCAGGATATCTCTGAACGCCGTAGACACCATCTCTGTGGGTGAATTTGAATTCCCACCAAAATCTCTCAACAAGTAGGTCATTTTTATTCATCTATACAGCATGACATTGTGTTAGAAATGCGTGGTGATGTATTAGATTTCTTTTACTAGCCACACATTCAAATAAAAGCATACAGTAGCCATGCCATGTCAGACACTAGGTCCTAGATAATCTATGTGTTAAGCCTTCTTGTAACGCTCAGTGACATTGGTGTTTTCCAAGCAGAAGTATGCAATCTGATAACATCAACAGTTTTGGTAATGTTATCTTATAGTGTTGTGGCTCAGATTATCTCAAGCATTAAATGCTTTTAGAAAATAATGTGTATTTGTAGAGAAAGGGGAAAGGGAACATGTAGATGCTGCAATTTTTAGTAAGAAATGAATGTTGATCTTGTTTTGCAGAAGAGAGGGCTATGGGATTCGTGTTCAGTGGGACAAACGTCCTCGGGCTTCGTTCTTAAACCGCTGGAACCCGTGGTCCACAGACATGCCCTACTCCACCTTCACAGAGCACCCCATGGCCCACGCTGATGAGAAAGTGGCTTCCCTCTGCCAGGTATAATCTATTTCACCAAGTTGGATGAGAAATGTTTTTCTAATGAGCACATCCCCTTTTTTTACTTTAGTAAACATGTCAGCACAGGAAGCCTGAAATGTAATCTAACACACCATGCAGTCATCAGAATCTAGCAATTGTTTAAGGCAGAAGGAGCAGCAACCGCAGCGCCATGGTCACACAGTGGTAGGAGTGATTCTCCTTAACAATGGGCTAATTCATACAATCATAATCTGCATAAACAGCTCAACTCAAAGTTGTTTTTCTTTTATTACTGGGAAGCAAGCAGTGCTTCTTAGGGGGATTTTCTGCATCTATAATCGTATTTGCAATAAATGGAGCTCATATGGCCATTAGGATTTAATAAAAGTTATTAACCTTTCCTGTATTTTAAATTTTATAAGGATATATACCGTATATAGAAAAGTTTACATGCAGGGATGTTCCTGTTCTTATGCTTTGTGTACCTTCCTAAGTTGGACAACTTCAAAACCCAGCTGGTACAGGCAGTGAAGAAGGCCCATAAGGAGCACCCCATCCCCGGACGGGCTAACGGCGTGCTGATCTTGGAAAGACCCCTCCTCATCGAGACCTATCTGGGTATTATGTCTTTCATCAACAATGAGGCGAAGCTTGGCTATTCCATGACGCGAGGCAAAATAGGCTTCTAGAAAATTTCCAGGGAGGAGCCTGTGTATGTATCTTGATTACCTTGTACTGTCTGAGGGAAGCTCCAGTACAATGTGTAGCTTGACTGTGAGTGTGTGTTTGTGTCTGAGTCGAGCCCATGACATGTCCAAACTTCCATTAATTTGGTTTGAAGACAAGTGGTCGACCTGCAGAAGGTAAAACACAGGAAGCTCTGTGACGATTCCTGTTTTCTGCTTCCTATCAGAAACCTGCACACGTCTTTTGCATTTCCACCTTCTACAGCTTATGCTTTAAATAACATAAATTAGAAAACTACTACGCTCCCTTTACATTTATTCAATTCTAAACTTACGATATTTTGATTTTGATTGATTGCATTTAGATAAGAGATTTGATTTGTTAAAACCTTAAGCTGCAGCAGGAAGCCATGTTAAACAAAATGTTTCAGTTGGTTTATTACATAGTTGAAACTGAATGGTTTTGTTATTGCATTATTATAAATAAGAGGTATTTAACCCTAATGTCACATGTTTACATAGAGAAGACTAAAAATGGAATTAACAACAAATGCACAGTAGAAATTACATATTTGGCCTTGTAACATATGTGTAACCTTATTGTAATTATTTTTCGGAGTAGGAGGAAGCAATTTGTAACCAGTTCTATGCAGGAGTTTTGATCTTATTTCTTTATATTTTGCTTCCAGTAAGCCATATTACCTCCTAAAGGATGTTTTAGCAATAGATCTGAAGGACTTTATGGATGAGTTGCAGTTTTTGGCCAAATTAGTATTGATATGATTAATTCTTCTTGATTAAAAAGGAATTTGTATCCATCTTTACACAACAAACTATTTAGCTATTTTTTTTCAGCTTTTTGTGATGAAAGACAATTTTTCAACTAACCCTAACTTTTGATTCAGGTATTAAAAAAGGCCAAAGAAAACCTTTTAGTTTATAATGTTAATCCTACAGTTATTATCAAAGACAGTTTGCCATAATTTAGAATAGTGTGCTTGAATGAGAAGAACAACAAAAAAAACCTGGAGAGAAAAATGAAATGTCAGCCTTTAAAGCAAACTGATTAATACTGTTTGCTGGTTAAAAATAAATATGCCTTTCACAATGAAAAAGGTATTTGATACATGAAAATGTTCCCCCTGGTGTTTTAGATTAATTTTCTTCAATTATTGTATTGTGACCAAAACCTGGTATCATTGTGTTAAGCAGAGTAGTTTAAACAATTGTTAATATCTAGCATAATTCAAAGGATCCGCCTCACAAAATGATCCTGCAGGAAATGGCTACTACTAGACAGAAGAAAACAGAGACCACAAACATTTTTGTGACACTACTTATTGTCCCACTTTTTTAAAGAAAATGTGGTTTACTGGAAGCAATGGGCTCTATGCACAGCTCCACTACTTCCTGAATTTAAAGCAGCTCCTTTGTTTCCTGTCTTTCATTACTGGACGAACTGATTAATCCAGGTGTGTCTGGCCAGTTACTTAGGTCATACACACCTGGATTAATCAGTGCATCCAATCATGAAAGACAGGAAACAAAGGAGCTGCTTTAAATTCAGGAAGTAGTGGAGCTGTGCATAGAGCCCATTTGCTGGAAAAGGCTGGCATTTAATTGATGATAAGAACGTGTTTGAGTGACGTCTTTTCCACATGACCACAAGATGTATCTTTTGTTTCAGAAATCAATTATCTGTAGACTGCTTAAAAAAAAAGATTTGTATCTAAAACTAATTTAAGATTAGTTGATAAAACTTGAAGGTGGTTTGACAAAGTGAAACAAATCTGCATTTGTTGTGGGGAAATAGAAAAACTTCACATGCTCAGATGTATGTTGTTTCAGAGTGATTGGCACTAAAGAACGCTCAGGGACAAAAAGAAATCAGTTGCCCTCCACAAGGTCCTAAATACCTAGATTTGTACTTTACAGGTGTATTCCCAGATAAATAAATGTTCCAGGGAGTATATATATTATAATGTTCTCACTTAATTAGTCATAGAAAGAATCCAGACTTTATTCCAAATGAGAATTCCTCAGATGTGCCTGGATGAATGAGGATCCATGTTCGCCTTCATCCAAATCTTTTTTAGTTAATGTGGCCATTTTGAGCAAAGCTAAACAGGTGTCTCACAGCACAGTCTTTTGTCCTTGTGCATGGTTGTTGCACGCCAAGTTTGCACGACTAACCTTTGTTTGCTAAACAGTACCATATGTGTAGTTGTAAATAAATATTTATCAGCATTTTTTTATTAAAATTAATGTATGTAAGTGAATACAACATAATGTCTTATGAATGAGAGTTGAAACAGTATTTTGTTTTTAAAAAAGTATTGTCTTGATTAAAATGTTTTGAGGTTCTGATCAATGTTTCCAGCTCAGCATCAAAAGTGGAAGAAAAAAAAAATAAAGGCCTTCCTGTTTTTGTAAGGAGAGCTTCTTTTGTTCCTCATTGGTGTTTAAAGACGTGGTTTGTCTTCTTTTTAACCCTTCATAGTTATTATAGTATTGAACAGCATAGTATAGTAATAATTTACACTTGTGCTGTCAGTGTGTAACATATTAAATATATACACATATACATACATATATATATATATATATATATATATATACATACATACATACACACACACACACATACATACATATATATATATATATTTAAATGAGCAAAACATTTTTTTCTAATTTTTATTATTTTTCCTGGATTGGAAAACAATTAATTGGTATAGATGGAGCTATTTCTGTCCAATGTAAAGTTCATTGAAAATTAAACATTATAATAAAAATACATTCATCACAATAGAGCAGATTGAAATGATTTAAAAAAATGCTTTATTGAGTTAACTACAAACTTTCAGAGAAACTTCAGGACACAAATTGTTTAAGGCTAAAACTCAACAGATTTTTCACAGTGCTGAAAAGCTAATGCTTCAGGAGTGTTTTCAGTGGTCTTCAAGTACATAACTAGAGCTGCACTAACTATCACAAGTTTAACTTTTCTTCCTGCTCAGTGTCCATATAGCACAAACAAAGCTGCTCTTTCCCAAGCAGGATCACAGAGTCTCCATTGCAGTGCCACTTTAGGGACTGGACTTGGAAATCACCTGTAAAAAAAAAAGAAAAGAAAAAGAAAAAGAAGGGGCAAACTGATCACTAAATACGTACATAGTATGATGTTTTAGGAGAACTTAAATTATCTCAGTGGAGGGCAGAATAAAGACATGAGACATCAAAGAGATAAGACCAAAGAATATTGTATTTGCAAAGTTAATATTGCATGCATGCCACCACAGCATCTAGAGGAAGTGGTGTAACCTACATGCAATATGCTAATAATAGCACAAAGCTGAAACCAATAACTTTTTATGCTTTAACAGATAAACTGATATTTCTAATTGTAAGTGGTGAAGCATGATACCTTCAACAGGAACTTGGACAGAAACACAGCCTCCAGGGGACCATAGATAAAGTTTGCTGTTTCCGGTACACAGGGCCAGTCGAGGGCGACAGGGGTCCCACAGAAAACAGCGTACAGATAATGTGTGCTCCAGCACAGCCTCCAGGCTCATCTTCTGCATGTCCCACACCCAAATAGCAGTGGGCATGTTGTCTGGTAAATACCAAAGGTTACAGGACTGATAAATGTAGAAGCTCTAAATGGATTTAACAGTTTACTGGGGTCACCATTATGTAAAAAAAGCCTCAATACCTACCATTTTTGGTGGCAAGATAGCGACTGTCTGAGCTGAACGCCAGAACAGACACACCTATTTTGGGATTGGCTCTGTCTGGGTCTGGCTTGACAGCAGGAATTTGGACAGGCAGAGAGCAGATCTCATCTGGATGAGGCAAAAACATACTTTGTAAACAGACTTTAGGGGGAAACCAACCCAAGCAGGATTCTTGATTGCAACCTTAAATATTTTCCTTTAAACCAATATCCTTGACTTACATTTGCTCTGAGTGCTGAAAAGTGTGGAGTCCATTGTTACATTGTGTAGCGAGAACTCATCGCGGACCTCAGCTGGCCTTTTCTCCACTTCCTTGTACACAGTCTAAGGAGACAGGATGTAAAAAATATGTTTCAATATACAAAAAGGAGTAAGATACATTCTAGGTTCATCATGAGAACTGAAATATACTCACCGCTTTTGTATTTTCAATGACTGCTGGGTGTTCAAACTGCACAATTTTCTTCCAGGTGATATGATTGAGGATGCGCACCTGACAAATAAAAATAGAGTCTCTCAAAATCTACAGATATGGAAATTGGTGCATATAAAAAAAAAATCAAAGACTTCCTATAAAAAGAACTGTCTATACTTTCTCATCATAACTGCCAATGGCCAAGAACTGGCTGCTGGGGCTCCAGGACACGGACTTCACACCCAGGGACCACTCATAGGCACTGTAGGTCGACAGCAATCGGCCATCCAAGGAATATAGCAAGACCTTATACTGCAGAAAAGAAACATGTTTATTAAATATAGTTACTTCAAAAAGTACCTCTTTCTACAGATAAGGCTTAAGGTCACATTTGAAGTATTTTTTTACTCTTTTAGGGCTAAAACAATTAGATTAATAGGGTTTAATGTATTATTGAAATAATTGTTAATTAAGTGATCAAATAATCTTTAACTGAAATATAGAGAACTGTTATTAAACCTCAATTTCACAGAAAATACATACATTTCACATTTAAGATTAACAAAAAATATTTGAATTAATCAGTTAGCTAAAAAAAAAAATATATATATATTTCAATTGATTAGACAATCATTTGTTGCAACCTTAGCCTGTTTCAACATTTGCAAAGAAAGAAATGGCTGCACATTAAACCTCCTGACGTATCAGTTGAATCCTCAACATTTGAGAATATTTTAAAATGAAAATCGATGTTTAGTGAGTCATCACACAGTGAATTGTACTGGCCACGGATTTTAATAACATACTTACAGCATCACCACTATAGCTGCCATTGACTGATACATTTGAGTATTTGATCAAATATCAATTTTTAAATAAACATAGTAATTAATTTTCTACAATAAAAGCTGCTAACATCTCAAACACACTATTATGTTCCTTTTCAACAAATAAGGTGCCCACAGTATTGACCAAGCTGAAAACAGGCTGAATAAGGTCTGCAAGTCAACTTGCTGATGTGTGTTAAGGTTCTTGTTTCAATAAATGTTTGTTCGACACAAATGTAGACAGAGAAGTGGGCATTCAGCAGATTAACAAAACATTTAGCTAAATTTTCACTGTTGAAATAGACCGAATGAAGTAGAGATGCACCGATCCTGTTTTCTCCAATCCGATGCCGATACCTGAGCTGAGCGTATCGGCCGATATCTGATACCGATCTGATTCAACTGTGGAATAAATGAACCATCTTATATATCTTGCCATATGATGGAAGGCTTTAGCCCTGACATAAACAAAGTATAAAAAGGTAACAATATAACACATATAAAAATAAACTATATATTATTTATTAGCAAATAAGCAGCAAAAATAAAGAAATAATAGTTCCATGTAAAGTACACTGGATATGATATCCGATATCAAATCAAAGATATCCGATCCAGTTAATTAGTTAAAATTGGAACCGACATGCGAACCAGGTATCAGAGCAGCTCTAGAAGGAAGCAATGCTTATATTCATCTATCATTACAGTCACTATGTTTCAGTTGCTATATATTCACTCAACAAAGGAAAATGCAGACCTCTAGACAGCTGTCCCACACTGCTAGCACACAGCCATTAGGAGACCACTCCAATCCAGCAAGGTCTTGTGTTTCTGTCTCAAAATGCTGTAAAATAAGTGGAAAATAAATTAAATGATATGTTTAATGGATGTGAATTTTGATGTGTCCCTCTATATACCATATAACATTGTCTGTCCAGAAATAAGTCATTTATTGTTTTCAATATTAAACAGCTTAATAATTATACAGTTAGGGTAAAAAATATTCATGTTTGGCACATTAAGGAAACAGTTATTTACCAAAAAGATTTTTCTGATTTTAAGTAAAATGGACATTTTAAAGTAGCCAACTAAGAG